CCTCTCAGTAAGAGCAAAGGAAAAGGTTTTTTATCCTTGCAGTATTAATGTTTTAAACTTTTATTTTGCTTTCTTGAAGTATTAATATTGTCTTGTAAAGGGAAATCTGATAAAATTTAACCTCTCTAATCAAACCCCCGTGTAAAATCACCTTTGTTTACTTCAAGAAGAGGCTTTTTTCTGTCATAGCTGCAACCCCATTTTATTGTGAGGGAGTTTTGTAGATGTTTAACCTGTCCATCTAATTAGTAATGAAGGTGAAAATAGTTGGATATCCACTGAGCGCTGAAGGGGCAAAGTAGATCATATCCACTGCCCTTTATGATGTGAAGAATTTATTTTTAGTGCTTACTAAACCAGGAAACAGCTTGAATAGAGAGAAAACTGCATGCAGAAAATTTAGAAGAATATTGGGAAATGATTGGCGAATATTACAGTTAGTTGCTGTCTTGGCTTTTAGCTGTCAATTAAAAATCTCTTGAAGACGCTATGCACTGGTTTAGTATGCTCATATTATTAATATTTTGTATTTTTGATTTATAAGACTGCTTGAAATTTATCAACTTTTTGTTGGACATTTGGTAATGGGTTTCTTATTCAACTTCTTATGCACCCCTTATTAACTTGAGTTTAATTAACTCAATCTGCTCACCATATTGTCAAGCAAACCTGTTATTTAATTTTTTTTTACTCATTTGTATAGTTACTACTTATTATTGGCTAACTCAGACCCAACCAACTCGAAACTTGTTGATATAAATTATTTCAACCCTCACTCCAAATCTTCTTTTATTTTTTTGAACAAAAATAAGCTTTGGCACATGTACATGTAAGTGCTAAGGTTTGGCCGAAATAAGTGTTAAGACCTAGACCATAGAAACATAAGCAGAAGCAGATAAACTAATTTTCTAAAATTAATATTAAATAAATAAGGATACACCAAAATACACAGTGAAAACTCAAACTGCAAAGCTTTGGTGAAGGCAGTAATAAGAAAAGGTGGTAATTGCATTTTGATTCAGAAGTTGACATATATCTACACATTTTGATACAGTTGACACTACAGAAGAACTCAGTAATGTGCAAGAATAATGTCATCGAAAGTTCTTTGAAGTGTACAAAAATAGCCAGAAACCCTAGGACAATCTCAAGCACTTGCCAACTTGAAAAAAGTCTTTCATTTTTGCATTGATATCAATTACAATTTGTGCAGACCTCTCTGAAGTTGTTTTGAAGTGTACCAAAATGGCCATAGATCGTGATTTAAAATACTCTACGTGTTTTTGTCATATTTTACTCTGGGACAATCCTGGACATTTGCTAACTGGGAAAATCTTTCATTTTTTATAAGATATTATTAACTAATAACATTACAGTTCTGAATCTGAAATATTGAATGCCTGTTAATCTTTTTTCACTTTCATCTGTTGACTGTTTTGTTTTAATGTGGTTGTGCAAAAAATTTTTTTCCCCTGCAACACACACCCAAAGGAATACTGGTACACAATGTTATATGTAGTTCCAATGCTACAAGGAATGTACTAGAAAACTTATGTTTTTTGCATGAAAGATTTTTGGGAAGCGAGATCAGGGAGTCCATCTTTTATTGTGTATGTGTATGTGGTGAAGTTATTTTGAAATTCTTGCATCGTGCATGCGAAGGTGTGTATTCATTGGATGATGAGGCCTTGTAAAACAACAACAAAAAAATTCTTTTTAAATGAACTTTATAATGGACTTGCTTCCACCTTGCTTGGGCTGTGGACTCCGAGCAAACTAGTTCTTGGAATCAGAGCCGCTTCGATGAAGGATTATTTGAAGGATTGAGTTGCGATCAGCATATGTTTTGTTAGCCAGGGTGTCAAGAGAAGCTATCTGGATTTGCCGAATATCTACAAAGGAAATTTCAAGATCAGCAGTGTGCTGTAATTTAGTGATTACATTCTGTGTTGAAGATAATTTAAAGAACTCCCTGTGATGAAAGCAGAATATTAATTTCATGTGCCATCTGGATGTTCAGTGAAATAGCGGAGTATTAAATTGTGCAGGCATTCTGTGTGCTTCTTGGAGGCTGTTCATTCATGCTTTCTCCTAGCTACAGTTGATTGAATTCTTCATTGTGACTAACTTGTGTTATTCCATCTGGATTCTTCAGTCTTTGCAGGAGAGGAGCAGAGAGAAACAGGTAAGACCATGAGTTGTCCAAGCAGATTTACCTTTATTATTATTATTATTGTTATTGTTGTTATTATTATTATTATTATTATTATTATTTTTATTTTTATTTAATATCAGAGACGGATAATAGGACAATTGCACGATGACGATATTTGACTAGAACTACCAGAATTCATTTCGGTTTTGCTTTGTTATTTAAAATTGTCAATGCCGCTGAGGATTAAAGAACAATAGCCTTAAATTGCACAAGAAAACAACGAACTCAAGGATTCTGGTAGTTGTAGTAAAATGACGTCATTATTGTCCTATTCTCTTTTGTAATGACTTAATTTAAAACACTGGACTGCCTGCAAGAGTTATTGATCGCACATGAGCCACGAGGAATGTAATTGACACAGTGATTGTATTTTTATGATTTATTTAATTCTTAATGTTGTATAGTGCTTAATTTGTTTCTTACGTGTACTTTAAAATAATATTAATTTTCTGTAAATTTTGTTCATATTTTGAAAGTTGAATGGAATTTTTATTACTATTATTATTATTTATTATTGTTGTTGTTATTATTATTATTATTATTATTATTATAATCATCATTATCATCATTTGCCTTTTTTAGTTTTCTAGTAACTTATGGCAAGGCTCGAAAAAACTTGAATCCCGCCTCGTCCTTTGGCCATGCTGCTCTTGCATTTTGATTGCCCAGGGCCACTTGTTGCTCATCCTAGTTATAATAACAGGGACCTTATGAAACTACGATGGAGACGGCAACAGCAGCATCAAAAAGCAACTGGTTTAGTTAGCAAAAAAACAACTTTGCACGTGCATCACGCTTTTTTGTACATTTCTTTGCCGTCCCTTCGTGATTACAATGTGAAATGACCAAATTTCAAGTTTTTTTGAGGATGCGAATGGCAAGGCAATAAATTCTACCATGTCTGTCTGAACATGGGGGTTGTCCCCTCTGTTCAGCTCCAACATAAACAATTACCTTCTTTTAAGTAACTGGGCGACTTGGGATAATTGCGAAATAGTTTGAAAGGATGCCGATATTTTTCAACATCGTTTTCATGGACATTGCCATTGTCAGATCGTAAGGTCCCTGATGATTTTGTTAGAGGATGACTTGCCTGGACTCTTGCCCACTGGGCAAGTACAGCTTGTAACCTCTACCCAGCAAGAAAATCCACTTGTCTTGGAATACTGGACCAGACTTTTTTCGAACCCTGTATGCACCCTAAAACACACTATTGCTCACGTTTGAATTGTTGTTCAGGTCACCTGACCATTCAATTCACCCTGTGTGGCCACCGGAGGTCGTTATAGTCTCTGAGAAAACACCCCCATTGCATTGGAAAGTTTTAACTTTGAGGACCCTTAACAGTACATTTCAGTATATTTTGAGTTACCAAGGAACTAATTTTAGCCATGAGGATTGATGGCCCTTTCAGGTTGTGCCAAACCTATGTCTGATCATCTGGGACAGGTAGAAATTTAGTTCAGACATGTAAAACCTTTGACTTCTCCAAGCAAATTTTTAATTAGAGAAAATGCGAAAACAGTTGAAAATTGGCTTCAAATTACCAAAGAATTACTTCTGTTGAGATGTCACTCATTCCAAGGCTCAAAATTCAAGTTGATAATGGTGTAAATTACAGTCTTCATTGTTAGTTTTTCTTTCAAAGCAACAACAAAAGAAAAAGAAATCTTGGATGCTACCAACGAATTAAGTAAACCAAGAGAAGATCATTAAATTCCCAAGTTTTGAGCAAAACTTTTTGGACAAGAACTCTTGGGTTTCTGACAACCAAATTTAATATAGTGTTTGTCCAAAGGACAAGTGAATAAGGAAATGTTTCTCTTACTCTGACCTCATTCACCCAGATTTTCTTTATTGTACTTTCTGACTTTCAGCCTGCCCCAAGATTGTGTCTAGTGATGGCATCACAGGGAGAAGACTGCTATTTCTTTTACTACTCAACCTGTGCCAGGGCAAGTAACTCTTAATCCTTTAATCACCAATATCCACGTACAAATTCTCCAAACTGATCTCTATACATTTCTTAAAGAATAAGTTGAGAGAATTTGATGAAAGATCAAAGCATTTTCTCTTAGATGATCAATTTAAATTAATTCTCATAACCAAATCTCTTGACAATCAATGGATATGGTTGGGAGAAAATTGATGTTGACACCATTGGGACTTAAAGGGTTAATCCTTTAATCACCAATATCCACGTACAAATTCTGCCGACTGATCTAACTACATGACCTTAAAGAGTTAGTTGAGAGAATCGATAAAAGATCAAATCATTCTACTAATTGTTGTAACCTTTTCTTTTTATGTTTTATGGATATTGTTAGGAGAAGGTTGATGTTGTTCACTCCTGAGACTTAATCTAAGGGGTTAATAAAATCCTGACTTGTAGAGACCAGTGTAGTGATGCTGTTATGGCCAGTAGATGTGCAATATAGCCTTTTTCAAAAAATACCGTAATACTCTGTGTTCTCTCTTCCCAAATTTTGCATAAGCGTAAGCATAATTTGTAGTTTTCAATTTCTTTTGGGACTTACAGTTGCCCCAAGAGAAATTGAAAACAATGCTCATGCAAATTTTGGAGGGTCAACAAAGAGTATTGAGGAATATTTGAAAAAAGGCCTATTTAGTTTTTTAACCTTTACACTTTTTTTCTTTTTTGTAGGGTGATGAATGCCCTTACAGACATGAACCAGCTGCATTAGGAAGCGAGACTACTTGCCGACAATGGGAGCAAAATCGATCATGCACCCGAGAAGTGTGCAATTTTAGGCATTCGCTCATAATGGTAATTGTTTAAGTAGAAATATCAAGCCAGAAGTTTTTAATAAGGTGTACTTGAAGATAAAATTGCTGTAATTTGCTTATTCTTTATTTATAGAAAAACAGATCTGATACTCCTTGTTACTATGAATCTCAACCAAGTGGATGTCTGAAACCTTTCTGTTCATTCCTACACAAAAAGCCTAGACCTAATGGTCAACCTCCATCAGTGAATACCAATGGTCCTCCCCCCATGGTACATCAGGTCCAACCAGTTCAACCTGTTTTATCACGGCCTGTGGCACCAGTTTCTCTTCCTGGTGCTGCTGGCACACCAGTACCTCACCCTGTTGCACCCATACCACACCTTCCTGCTTCATCAGTACCCAGGATGGCATCTTCTGGAAGTCAGGATGCAATGAAGATTCCTACTATATCATCTCCACCCAGACCAAGGCTACCTATACAGCAGAATATTGGCATGCGGAGACCACAAGTACCTATGCAATATCCTCCAGTTAGTAGTAGGCCAATGCTTGTACCACAGCCACCTCAGATGGTCAGGGCACCCCAGTTCCCTGGGCCTCCACGTCCAGCAGGCATTGTGCAACCTATTTCGGCCAGCAGGGGATTCCCTCCCTCAAGGCCAGGCGGTCCAGTTAGTTATCCAAGAGGTATGTTTCACTTTTTGCTCTCAGAACTGGGCAACATGAAACAGCACAAAATATCAAATTTCTTCTTGCAAAGTAGTCAGCAGTTTGTGTGTGTGTTTGCACAATGTCAAAGTCAAAAGGAAACTGCTACTTAGGCTCGATACCAACCGCTGTTCAGGATATGAGCCCGCACTCCTCCCCCGAGCAGATGGTTGGATGTATGACTTTGCTATTGTCAATTACCACCAATGAGATTGTTGCCTGCTCAAATCGAGAAGGCAGCATAAATTTATTTTCCTGGGCGGAGTTGTTCAAAGCTGGGTTAAGATAACCCAGGGTTAGTGCAAGATTTGAATTCAGATTTGAAAGCTTAAAAAGCATTTCAGTTTCAATTCTTTTTGTCTACAAGTTGATGATTGGAAGCTCTAAAAAAGCAGAGAAGATTGTCCGAGAAAATGCTTTTGAACCCAAGAAAAAGAAACCCGGGGTAAATATAACCCCGGGTTAAGTGCTAATTGGCTTTCTAACAACTGGGCCCTGGAGTAGATTTTAAATGGCGGATGCAAAGGTGTTGTATAATGTGGCGTGCGATAGTGTTCTAGAGCATTTTAAGCTTAAAAACCTAAATTATTTACAAAGAAAAGTATTAGCTTAGAGAAGCTGTTTAGTGGTAGGTAATTTTTTGACATTCAACCAACCAGAACTATGGTAGTTGACCTGAAAGAGACAACTGTGAAGTCCATCGGTAATGCAAAGTCAATGCAAGTACAATCAGCACATGTTTCTGCTGATCTTTATAGCAAATACCAAAGCGACAATGAGGCATAGCACAACGTTTGTTCAGTATTTACTGACATTTCCCATTTCCAATGTTTCGTAACAATGCAGACATTAAATTTTGAATTTAAGTCACAGACACAATAGGTCACTCACGCGTCCAGCCGTCTCTTCTCAGGGAGGACCGAGAGAGTAGCAGAAATCGAGCCCAACTACTATAGTTGCAGACACATGTAAAATGTGTAGTTTGTTACGTTACACCGTGAAAGAATGCACCCCCTAATCTAGGTTTATGTGCTCAGGGAGAGGCTAACCTTGAGGAAGTCATTCCTTGGGCCCTTGGCAGAAATCAGAACTGGCTGGCTGGCTGGAACGGTCTTTTTGACAATAAAAATGGGCAGAGTAGAGGTTATGTGTTGCACTGTACGACAAATAATGATAATCAGATGGCAGTTGCAAGGGCAATGAATTGCATTCTCATCTCAAAAAGGTTTTTATGAACTGTTTAGGCAGAAATCACGCCTTTTAACAAAATTTAATTTTCCCCTTTAGAAATCATAACACCGCAGCGGTCATATCACCTTCCACCAATGTATGCAGGAAGACCAGAAGGTAAATGTGATAAACACAAAACAGTAATGCTAAAGGTTGGAGCAGTAGAACTTTCCAGGACCTTGAAAAAAAAAATGAATTCCAGCTTGTCCTTTGGGCAAGCAGTCCTCACATTTTTCTTGCCTTGGGCCACTTCTTGCTCCTCTTCGTGAGTGATTTTGTTAGAGGATGTCTTGCCTGGACCCTTAAGGCAAGTAAGTTTTTCAAGTTACATGTGCTTACCCAGCAGGAAAATCTTCAAGTACTTGCCCTGGACTACCGCATAGGACTTTTTTCAAGCATTGGTTTGATCAAAGGCACCAACTTGAAGTTGATTAACCTGACAAAATATGAAATTGTGCACCCTCATTTCAATCTTGATTATTCCTTTGGATCAAAATCAATGCTTTTTACTCATCTCCTTCAGGTTTAGCAATGCCTTTCATGCCAGGACCAATAAAGGAGAAATTTCAAGCAGACGATTTTGACAGTCTGAGTGAAGGTATTGCACTGCATGATGAGGCCTATTAAGGCTGAAACCAGAAAGAACATTTGACAACATTGAAGAAAATTTGATTTCTTGATGGATTATCACAATAAATTATTATTGTGATAAACCATCAAAAGTTAAACTGTTTCACAATTACAGGCAGAATAACCAGAGTAGCAGGCAGCAAAGGCCTAAACTTTGTGGTTGTTGTTTTGTTTTGTGTTAAGTTGGCAGCAAATAATCATTCTGTTGGAAGGGGCAAAATGGCTGGCTGTGGGCTCATTTTGATGTAGCTGAAATATGTGGTCCTTTCTCTAGGTTCAGATTCTTTCTCAAGTAGTGAAGATGAAGAGGAACGGAAGAGATCCCGACAAGTACCTCGCCGCAAGGTTCATAGCAGCTCACATAGGGAAGTGTATACAAATAACAGGAGAGAGGTACATGGCAGACGAAAACAGCAGTCCAACAAACCAAGTCGTGGCAGTAAGTTACTACAAGAGGAATGCATTGCTTTGTATAGTAGCAGCTTCAGGCTTGTTCATGAATAACTTCAAGAGTAACTTTTCTTTTGTTTTGCTCCTAGGAGATAGAAGTGATGACAGAAAAAGACCTGATGTCACAAGAGATAGAAGCAAGAGTGCTGCAGGTAATTGTTTTGCAAGTACAAATGAGCAAGGAAAATTTGCCTGCATTGGAAAGGTTTTCAGATAGGAAAATAATGGTGTGTTTTTATCATGTGAGCTAAAGGAATGTGATTGTATGTACAATGAAAATGAAGTATTCGTATATTAATGGTGAGTTTACGCAACAAGACGGCAGAAAGAAAAGGACGGCAAAATGCTTGTGTGTGAGATACGTGACAGGCCTATTAGTTGTGTGTTTTGCGGTGATCTTCACTTAAGTTAATGTTTTCTGGTCTTTCACAAAAAGACCGGTTTAAAGGAGGGTGAAGTTCAGCGGAAAAGTTTCTGAAACAAAATTGTTGTCACGCTTGTCACACAAAGTTTGCTGTCTTCTTTTCTTTCCCGTCCTGTTGCGTAAACTCACTAATACTAGCACTGCCTCCTGCATGTAAGGTGTTTGTTGTCGACAAAAGTAATAATCATTTGAGAGTGAAATGACATGGGCTTTATAGTGACTGTAAATTCAGACTTGTTTAATATTGATTATATTAGGAGGTCACTCATTAGAATACAACTAAATTTCACAGCTAGTTACTGTAACATATCCTTGGTCACACAAAGTTTCGTTTCTGCTACCTAGATCATGACACCTTGAAGCAGTAATTGACTCTTAATAAGTAGTTGAGGTTGCATGAGAGTGTGTGAGATCATGTCAGTTTAGACCATAATGGGGTGAATACATCTAAAGGATCAACCAGCATGAGAAAACTACTGGTTTTGAGTGTTAAGGAGAAAAAGAGAAAAGCTTGAACACTCTTCAGTTCTACGGAATGAATGTCATTCTCATATACACTGGGTTTGTACAGTCTTGTATTCTTGAAAAAGTCTTGAAATTTGCAAAGCAATTTTCCAGATTTGGAAAAAGTTTGGAAAATGATAAAAAGTCTTTTTTTCCAGAGTTACAAGTGCTTAATAAGTGATTTTGTTTTTCCCGTAGTCAAATCTCACCCAATCTCACCCGTAGCCAAAACATTTCATCACAAAATGAGAAGTTTCATAACTCTCTTGGTCACCGTATGTTTACAATGCATCATGGAAAAGCTTGGTTCCTGTGTTTTTTAAGGTCTCTATTGATCACCTATTGTAACCTTGAGTCTGGAAAAAAAATATTGTTTTGGAAAAAGCCTTGAATTTTGGATCCAAAAATCTGTACAAGCCCTGTTTTACAGTACTCTGTATTACGTTGTATTCGTTTGCACAGAAGCTGAACGTGACAGGTCTAGGACAAAAAGAAAACCATCAAAGAAGTCACCACCAAAACGAGAAAATGAAGTGCGTGAGAGGCAAGAGACCAAGCAGGAAAGAAAGCCCAGTTCATCTAAAGATGAAGAAATAGAAGGAGAAACTGGGAGAGATAAAAGTTCAGAGACAAAGGAAGCTGATAGTTCAGATATAAAAGTGAAAACTTTGGAACAAATATTGAGAGAGAAAGCAATAAAAAAGATGGAGGAGAGAAGAGCTCTGAGCAAAGATGTGAAGCCAGATGAGGATAAGGAAACCAAAGAGGAAGAGGACTTTGATGAATCAAGTAAAGATACTGTGAAGGATGAAGAAGAAGAGTCTGATGTTGATGATGCTGAGAACAGTAAAAAGTCTCCACTCAAGAAAGTAGTTAGAACCAAAACCAAAGGTGATGATCCCCAACCTTCAAGTGAAAAGTCGACCTCAAGTAAAAAGGTTTCATCTATGGTTAAAAAGGTTCCTCCGAAGAAAGTCGTTAGCTTAAATAATGATGACAACAATACTCTAAATACTTCAAGTGAAAAGACAAGAACTTTAAGAAAGGTGTCATCAAACAATGAAAAGAACTGGCCTCTTAGGAAGATAATGAGCACCGTTAACAAAGACAATAACAGTGTTCAGTCCTCTGCTGTTGCAGAAAAACATTCTATTAAGGATGAAGATGACGGTAGTGGGGAAGAGAAGGA